GACGTCGCAGAGCTAAAATATGAGCCTTCGTGCCCAGAGTCGGGCTTCAAGCATACTCTTCCACGAATGCAGTGTACAGTTCAATTCTTGGATGCGGGGTGAGCCGCAGCAAACCCAGAAATCTCCGTTTGCAGCCTAATCGAAAGATTGTGTAATCCCGTTATCGATGCAGATATTCTCCCAGGAGTTTGTCGGTCTCAGCGTTCTCAATCTCTTCACCGCTATTGGAGGGTATGTACACAGTTTCTCAAGTCGTGAGCCCCAAAGTTTAGTCACACGTTGGCAACGGTGACACGCAACATCAATAAGAAGAAGTCCACTTTTCAGAGAGACATATCTGACCTTTGCAAGGAATTCACATCCTCGAGTATCATCAGAAAATGTCCCTGGCACCAAAATCGGAGTTTTCACATCTTCAGCGAGGCCTAGAAAGATGGACATTTCTCTCAGCCCAGGCTGATACCGGCTTGGCTCAGACGTCATACAATGTCCTAGCGCTGGATGAGATGTGGAAACGTCCGGGTTTCATGTGCCATGGCAGAGAATACTGGCTACTTGCACATCTGATGTTGAACGAGGGGAAATGTTTGGCCCACAAGCAAAAGACAGAACTCTAAACAAGCCATCAAGGGACGTGTGCCAATATGCTACAAAGCTGGATACGATGCGGCAGACATGCAATATGTGCATGACTTAGTTTGGGGTTTCCAGAACCTCGATACTACACGGACAGCAATTAGTCACTGATAATTCTTGAATACAGCGATTTGATACCGAGAAACGTGGAAAGCATAAATGTGGAAGTAATGACAAAGCTACTTGAGATCGGAGCGCTGAGCTGAGTTGCAAGAAAGAGGGGGAAAAACCACGGGTTACGTCTCATGTGAAGAGATCTGGTGATGAAAGATCGCTCCCCAATCTACCCCTAACGTACCGACCTTCGTCAGAGCCGCGCTGTCGAGCTTCTCTAGTTCTTGGGAGGTACTCAATTTCGAGGCCACAATTCGTCCATGATAAGAAAATCAGATTCGATTCTGATCAACTGCCGCAAATGAATGCCGACAGGATTTCAAATGCCGGCCTCGTGGTCTGTTTATGTGCCAAGACCCCGTCGGCATTTCCCCCACGTTGCGCGTTAGGGTGGATACTAAATCTACATGACTTATCAGCTCCTATCATAGCCTGAGGCGGCGCTGATAATCCGTTGACTTGGTGGAGTGTTTCCCGATAAATGTGTTTACGGCTCTGCCCAGCGTCTTCGCCTGTAAGAGGTCCTTGCAGAAGGAAAGTTCCCGAAAACGGTTGACAAAAGATAAATGGCAAGCCATGACCAACACTCCTCTATTGCGATACCCTTTTGATACAAATCCTAAGCTTCTTTATGTGTGCCAGTGCTTCATTTGGAGCAGAGCGAAGAGGTCTTCCACACGTGGTCCGCGGCGGTTTAGAATATAGTTGGAGGGTCGAAAGATACATCTGAATTCTGGCCCTCCAGCCCTTACATACACGTTCTCGGAGCCCTTATCCCCCTAATCGACCACCAACTTGGTCGCGCCTCAGGACCACCTCACAATTTGTATCAAGGTTCGCTCCTCTTCGTTCGGGCTTTCAAGGCCAGATAACCACTGATAACCACTTAGCATCGCAAGGGTCTCTGCCTTCGGAACACGTCAAAGCACGAATGACTTGAAATCGGACCTTATGATGCTGTAGCCTAAGTCTGTCAGTGATTGTCTTGCAGGGCATGAAGATAAGGATCAGGTCCTCAAGACCTCTGAGAAGACGAAAGGAGCGTGCAACAGCAACTCATGTTTCACTTGATAGCGATTCCTGTGTTTAGTATCGTAGAGGTGTAGCATTAGCATTATCATACAAAGTTTT